CTCATCATTGTGAGACCCTGTTCCAAATATATTTCACTAAAGGGAAAAGTCAGCTCTGTGCTCCTGCTTCCCAAAGATACAAAGAAACAGGATATAAGAATTTGAAAATTTTCTGCCTATGTAGGAGAATAAAAGGGAACATATGTTTACTAGGATCTTGATTTTATACCAGGTACTGAGGTAAGTAGATCACATACAACTTGAAATGTACAATGCTCTTTATGTATCTTATTTAATAATCATAGCATTCTTTCAGGCATTGTAATTCTTCTTTACAAATGAATGAAATTTAAAGCTTGCACAATGTCTCACACCAAGTAAAATTTTAGACAGTCTACTATCAGGAGGGTATGTAGGGAAAGGCCTACTGAAAGCTCCTTGGAATGTGTCTGCATATATCTTGTTTGTTTGTTTTGGTTCTGGGGACCAACTCCAGGGCCTTCAATATACTAAGCATGTCATTTACTACTGAGTAATACATCCCCCCAACCCTGGACATATTATAGCAAGTAAGTTTCTCCCAAAACATCTTTGGTCTTTCAAAGTTTGCAGCTGAGGTTATTACATATCATCTTTTTTGGATCAACTCTATACTCCTCACAGTATGGGATTAAATATTTCAAGGGCTCCTTTTCCTGAAGCATAATTCCACTGGACAGGTCACCTTGTAGACCTCTTGTCCTCTGTCCCTTATTCTTCTTACCCTTGGTTCCTGAGTCCAGTCTCTCTCCATGAATGATTCATCTTTGTGAATGATTCTCTAATTCAGACCATCTTGGATCTGCTCTGTTCTCTGGCTTTATTTTGACAATTATCATGGAGTTTCAATCTCTGAAGAAAAATTTCTCATCAGAAAATAAAAATTTTCAATTTATTTTGCCATTATTGCCTTTTGTAATTACTCCCTATTAATATAAGACTTTTTGATATCTGTCTTTTGCAAATAGATGAATCAAGTTCATCTTTGATTTGAGAATTATTATAGATACAGTTGACTAACCACTTTGCATGTAGCCTCACAGTGGGCTGACATAGTAGATCCAATTCTACGGCACATGAAATTGAAATGTGGAACAGGATTGGTTCTTCGAAAATAGGCACCAGCGTCTCTGAGAAGAAGAGTGGCAGAACCAGGACGGGGTAGAAGAACAAATTAGGTTGTGCGGCAGGCCTCTATAGCTTTAGCCAACTCAGTGGAGAGTGCTGGGCAAATACTGCCCATCTGCATTTCATATCAGGTCACCATAGCCAACTCTTTATTTGGTTTCTCTGTTCCCTTTTTGGATGAAGCTATAATGGGAAACTGTGTCCTTGGACTAGGGGGATCTTAAGCAATGAGACTCTGACAGAAATAATATTCAGAGCTGTCTGCTGGTGGGATTCTCCATAGCGAAGAACAAATCCTGGGATGAGGATCTGTGTGGTGTATCTGTTTCTACTGTGGACCTGGACTATTTTAAAAATCAATGGAAGTTCTATAACTACTAAGTACCAAGGTTTTGATACTGAATATTTTGTGGATCAAAATTTTCTTGCCCTCACTAACTCATAATTGATTTTGAATATCCACTCAAGGGACTTTATCAGAAGCTTCTTTACAGCTTTTTAAAAACAGGTATGTCTGGCCTATGGATCTAGAGCACCTCTGTGAGATTCTGATTCAACTGGTGCAGGTGGTGTCCAGAAATCCTACTTATTTTATAAAAAGTTCTCAGGCTTATTCTAAAGTATAGTCATGTATAAAAATGATTGCTAACTATGACAGAAAGGGAAGGTTATAGAGGACTGAACAGGCTCACAACTTCCTAACTGAGTGGACAGCAAAGGCTTAAATAAAAGAGACAAGTGTTACGATTTTAGGGCTCTAGAAGGTTGAAAACCCTCTAACAAACTTGAGATTTTCTGGGGGCTGAGAGGAAGAACTTCTCTGGGCAGTCCATAGTTATTTAGATTTCAAATAGAGGAGCAGAATACTGAGGAAAACATAGAAACTGAGCAGGACCTGGGGAATCAGTTCAGGGACTTCTCCAAATAATGGATTGTGTTAATTCAGGAGAACTGTTATCTCCAGGAAGGCCTTCACCCCAGGAGAGAGGTGCCTGTGGCTACAATCTTTATCTAGTTAATTGGGTCAGAGCCAGGTGTTCTCAGCTCTGGCCTTGTCCTTTGAGGCCTTAGGGCTTCAACAGACACTACAGACCTCAGCCAGGACCTGTGATCTGCCACCCATCTCCAGACAAGGGGCCTACGCTTTGGACAGACTCACAAGTAAACATAAAAAGCCAACTGGTAAATAGTAAATCATGTTCAGAGCCCCTTCATAGTGGTCTCCGTTAGAAGGTAACCAAATTTGGCAAAAATTCTAATGTTGGATTATATGTCTAGTCCAAGTTATGATATATGGGAAGTTAAAAAAAATCAGAACTAAGACTCATTGCCCTGAGGTTGATATTATCTAACATTACTGGCAATATCTCTTCTTATTTCACAACAGGTTCTCTGATCACCTAGGGGAAGAATCTTACAGAAAGTGTAACTTCAAGATTCACGAAAAAAAAAAAAAAAAGATTCACTAAAGTAACTGAGCTTGTAAGTGAACTCAATAATTTGCCTTCCAAGCAACCCCTGAGATATTTTTAGTGCCAAATATTTGAATATACCAACTTTTATTTTTTTGCCTTTCAACTTAAAACTGGCAATGGGTTTCTGTTCTAAAAATTGTTTTTAATACATAATGTAATCACTTCTAAGATTGAAATAAATTCTTTAAATTATCTCATTTAAAAGAAAATTATACTTTTCATAACCAAACGTTACATGATTATGATGAATTATAAAGATAGAAGCTTAGTTAGTTGGCAAGGCATAAACCTCAAGTAAGGTTGTTACCTGAGCTAACAAAGGTTGTTACTTGTTAGCGAGATAGCAACTTCTGAATCTGGCTTCTTTCAGTTCTTCCTTTTCCTCCTTCCCTTCCTTCCATTTCTTTTCTCTTTTCCTCTCCTTCTCCTCCTTTGCCTCATCCATTTCCTCCTCTTCCTTTTTCCCCTCCTTCTTCTTGTGGCGGTGGCAACTTAACTCTGCGATTTTGCACTAAACTACAACTTCACACACTTCATTTTATTATATTTTGTAGTTTGGGTTTAAACCTGTGATCCTCCTGCCTCAGCCTCCCAGGGTGTTACAATTACATGCATACCCTTCATACCAAGCTTCTTTCAATTTTTCTTTAGTAGAATCAAGATAGGACTCAAATTTGCAAGGTAGGGTTTCATGAGCAGGGGTCTTGGGACTCCAACTGCAGAGAGAACAAGAGCCAAGCATGCTGACAAAAGGATTGTATAGATCCTTTTAAAAGTACATTGGATTGTTATGTGAGGATTTTCTAAATTTTATCAAAATCACATGCACTATTTTATATGAAAAAGAATTCTAGTCAGGTATGGAAACATTTGCCTGTAGCCCTAGCACTCTTGGGGCTGAGGCAGGAGACAAGTTGCAGCCTCACTTGGGAAAGTTAGCATGATGCTGTCTAAAAGCAAAACAAAAACAGTTTTAGGAAGGGTTGAGGATGTAGCTCAGTGCAAAGTTCAGTTCACAGTACTGCGAAGTAAAGTAGCAAACATCAAAACAAAACCAAACAAACTTGCTTTATAATAGTTAACCATAAAGATCTTAAATTCAGATTAATTATTAATATGACTCCTTTCTAGTTTGAGGTGGTATCTTGAGCTCTATGACTTATAATTTATGGGTTTGACCTCTCGTGCCTGTTGAAAAGGAAAAATGGTTCCTGCTTCAGCTGCTCCTAGAAGTTTACCCTTCTTTATGAGCATGGTAAAAGGAAGGAGTTGTATATATGTTTCATAAATGTGTCCTAGTATGTGTACTTGATCAGTTATGAAAATCCTAAGAGGCTGTGTACAGTTCCTCTATATCACCCTATGGGTGGCTAAATGTACAGGTGCTTAACAATAAAAGCTGATGATAAGATGTTGCAATACTCAGTTCTTTATAAGTAAGAATGGTGGCACCTGTTTTTATATTTCCAACCATAGCACCTGTGTATTTGAGTCAGTGACTATGTGGTGACTATTTTCTGCCCGTATGTACTACTAAAGACCACTAAAGATTGGCCTTATCAGACTGAGAGAAAGACTTACAAAGGACAAAGTTATATGTACCACAAATGCAGGTCTCTTATTTGGACTCTCAAAAGGTAGCACGTTTCATTAACTCCTCTGATTATAAGCTAGACCAGTTATTAAAGTGGCTTTGTTAAAGTCCCATGGCAACCCTTAACTATCTCATTTTGTACTTTTCCCTTTATTTCCTTTACTGTTTCTGTGCTACTTCATCCACCTGGTACCTACATAAAAACTGTTGAAGCAAGTTTCCTTTAATCGATATTTCAGATCTCATTTTGGTCAGAACGTTAATATTTAGAAAGAACATGTAGGTACCATGAACCGTGGACCTTGTTCCATTGATGTTCATGTACAGATTAAATGTAGCAGGCTTTCTTTCTTCTGTTGAGGAAACACATCCTGTCACTCATTTTCTCCATAACCTCAGATAACTCTTCATCGCTTTCATGACAATAACTGTTCTCATCTTACTGTGACATGATGTTTTGGGGGAAAATGTCTGAATGCTTTCACATAAAAAGTTTCATAATCACAAGTTATAAGAAGGGGGAAATGTATATTTATTAACCATAGGTACTTTTAGCATGAATTTCCTGACCTTGATTTGATTAAAATCTCCACCTAAAGATTGCAACAATCTAGATTTCTTTAAAGTTTACTGGTTCACTTCACTTTAAAGAAAACCTCAAGGAGGGGCCAGAAGAGGGCAGAGCGGAAGAAGAACTTAAGGACTGAGCAGCTCTGCAGATGAGTGTTTGAAAGTGAACAGCCAGCTTATCAAGAAGCAAAACCACAGAAGCATTGTGTCACATCTCTTAACGAAATCAATCAGTCTCTGCCTACTGTCCTTTCTCACCAACTGTCCTCTTTTCATTGATTTCTCAGATGCTGCCAGGGTAGATAACCTATCTCTGAAGAACTCAGGGAAGGAAGGGCAGCCTTTTGCCTGAGCACTTTTTCCCACATTTGACATGTACAGGGAATGAAGACCTGGCCCACCATGCTTGGAACAAGGAAATTGTTTTGGGTCCTCTTCCTGACCCTACGTCTGGGCCTCCAGAGCATCCATGGTAAGGTTCCTAGTTCCATTGTTTCTGGTTTTGTTTCTCAAGGGGTCACAGAGGCAGTGTTTCCCTTTGCTGAATTTAGTAGGATGGGATGTTTATTCCGAATAGGTAATTGTAGATGAACCCAAGTTGTTAGATTTTCTGCGTGAAAACATGACAAGATGTAAACTAAACAGCAATATCTATTGATCTGTTTAAATAATAAACACTGAATCCATAGGTTGTCCAGTTTTTCTAAAAATATGTGCTCACAGTAAGAAAAGAGGACCGAGTTGATGTTGTAAGTAGTTAAAGTTTAAATTCATGGTTACCAAAAACTCTCTGGGTGGCCTAATGCTGCTGAATGAATACCACATTGTTTGCAAACTTATTCTAGCAAAATGTTGTAGTGTTCATTTGGATGGGACAGGTCTTAGATAATGGGGATTATGTCTATCTCCATGGATACTCTTGAATAATGTTATCTGTGAAGAAGATCTTACCTGTGCTAGTGAGATATATGTCACAAGGCACATGAAGGAGAAAAAAGCTTAGAGATATCAGAGCACTCCTTGATGCCTCTATTTTGATGAAAAGGAATGATTCCTACTTGCTTGACAACAGAACATTGACAACAGTTTGGATCCTACAAAGACACCATTTGATTATAGCTTTATGTAGTCTAAAAGGCAATTGTCGTATTACATTGAGGGCTCTTGTTGCCTTACACTGACATGTTTCAGGGGCAATTTTTGTGTTGTTTTGGTATATGATGAACATGTAAATTTTTCAAAATGCAATAGAATACATATTGCTATTAATCACCCTCACTTTAAGTATACTTTCCCCATCATTCTTGCTTCTTTCTGAAAGCCTTCTTTATTGAGTATTTTACAAGATGTGATCAGCTGCTGCTCAGTGCCATCCTAAAGAAAGGCAGGCTCATGAAAACATTCATCGTGTCCCCATTCACTTTATTCCCAGGACGGGGCCTTGTGGGACTACTTATTCTTTCTAAAAGTCAAAATGATCTTGAAAGGTAAAAGTTTTGAACCAGTTCAGAATGTTTAAGAAATCCAGGCAGCCAAGTCAGTGTAACCAAAGACTTTCCAGAGCTGCTTCTGAAAGGTGGAAGAATGGCAGCATAGCGCATACCTGTGTTTGAAGCAAGAGGAAATATTTTGAAGGGAATTAATGGCAATGTGTCTTTTACTGTAATAATTTCTTTTTAATTTAAAGACTCATGTCACATACATTGTATGAAGGAAAAGGTCAATAGGTGATAAATAGAAGTTTCTGATTCCTTAGTAGTTCTAGTTTTAAACATACTCTCTTATTATCATCCATAAGCATGTATTTGTTAGTTGGTGTGTTTCTATTTCAAATTAGAAAATAGGATCACTGAGGTCTTATAGAATATCATCTTTAGTTCCAGATCTATGTAGCTTGGAATTTGAATCTGTGATTCCAGGATATCACACAACAAGGTACCAAGTAAAATCTCTTGAATCATCCAAGCATGTTTATGTCCATATGTGTTTATTATTTAGTCACCAAGTGCTTCAGTAGTTGCCTTAATTTCACCTTCCATCAGCTACTACTATCACATAGCTACAACTGTACTCATATCAGCCAGAAAGCCTACCAATGTAGATCTAGTATGTGCTATTTTCTGAGACATGCAGAATACTGTCAGTTCTATGCCATGATTGAAGTATGCCAAATCTTCCATTTTTCCTCTCAATGTGTTATCACCTAGTGCTTACAAAAATAGATGGGGCTATTAGAATTAAGTTCATTCACTGGCTTTGCCATTTACTGTGTGATCTGAAATAAGTTTATTATCCTCTTTTATCTTTCCTCATTTGTAAAGCAGAATTAATTATTTTACTTACATTATGGGCTTATAGTGATGCTATCAATGCTTTAAAATGAGTAAAGGGCCTAGCACTATAAGCACGCATGATAAAAGTGGGAATACGTTAATGATAATTTTGTAGGCAGTATTTTCACCAAGAGAGAAGTAAAGTTTAACATTACCATTTAAGATAGGGTCGTTTTTAAACTTTTTATTTCATCTTATTTTCATTTTATGAATATTTTTGCATGTTTAAGGAGTATAATGTGATATTATAATGTATGTATAGCATGGTAGAATGATTAAGTCAAGTGAATTAATAATCCATCATGTCACATGCTTATTGCTTCTTTATGGTGAGAACATTTAAAATCTATACTTTTAACAGTTTTCAGAGAGCACATTAACTATAGCCAGCATATGATGTGACAATAGATCACTGAAACTTATTCCTCCTAACACAAATCTTCTAACATTTCTTTAAGACTTGAGGTTTTAAAATTAGAACGAAGAAGTGAAACACATTGTATAATATATTTAGACTAAAATATAGTGAATCAAAGTATTTGGAGAATGAGGGGGAAAGACTTGGAGTATATCGGCTAGGTGTCTTACGTGGCAGACGCAGTGATTGCAGCATTACCTAGGCCCAACTAAGAATACAGACTGAGATAGAATTGAGGGCTGGGAATGTAGATTAGAGAGAGAATAATTGATGGCATATAAGATGTCCCAAGTTTGACCCTCAGCACTGAAAAAAATCAAACACACACACACACACACACACACACACACACACCAACAAAGAAAAAAAAAATAAGCCAATGAACATTTGATAAAAAGATGGAGCTGATGGCTCCACTCCAAAAATCAAATTAATTATAACATTTATATCTTGGGGATTTCCTATAATTTACATTAATTATTGAATTCTTTACAGTGGTACTTTTTAAAACTACTTAAAGATAATTTTAGAATATTTTCCTCCTACTTCAAAGCAGTGAGAGAACCTTGCGCTCCACCCCTCCCTTAGGAGCAAGGCTGTATCTGTGCCAGGGGTGGAGAAAATGTATTGTGGTCTCCAAATTTTTTGTTGGAGCTTGCTTGCTTTTTGAAGACAGGGTGGGGGGTAAGAAGAGACAGACAGACAGAGTCAGAGAGACAGAGACAGAGAGACAGAAACAGAGGCAGACAGAGAGACAGACAGAGACAGAGACAGAGACAGAGACAGAGACAGAGACAGAGACAGAGAAACAGAGAGACACATACAGAAAGAGAGAGACAGACAGGCAGACAGACAGATGAACAGAAGGCCTGGGAGGGAGGTCTGGAAGGGAGGGAGAGGGAGAGAAAAAGAAGGAGAGGTAAGGAGGAGGAGGAGGACGAGAGAGAGACACACACACAGGAGAGAGAGTAAAATGTCTGGTACATGACTTCTATCTTGATGAAAATAGTAAAAATATCAAAACCTTCTCCTTATATATTGAAGTCCTAGCCTGCAGGTAGAGACAGATCCATCTCTGAGGCCCTGTTCCATTTGTTCTGTTGGACATTCCAGATCCAGGCAGGCAGGAATGTTGCAGTTAATACCAGATCAGCAGTAAAATATATGATTTGGAATAAACAGAGTAGGAAATCTTTGATCAAAGATTAGTGTGATAAAAATAACCCTAACCTAGCCCAGTAAGAGAAGAATACTTAGACCTTGGCTCCTTTGAGAACACAGACATTAGGGCCATACCTCCATTTGGCTCTTGCTTGTGTCCATTTTGTAAATTAATATTATTTATTTATTTATTTATTTATTTGCCTTTCTGTATTTTAGAGAAGGGTCTACAGGGTGTTCAGGGTCTCACTACTAGATTGCACTCATAGTGATTCTCCTGTTTACAGCCTCCCAAGTGCTGGGATTGCAGGCATGTGCCACCACACCCAGTCTCAATCTTGTTTTAGCATGCCCTGGGGGTGGGACTAGCACAGCAGGCCCAGGGATTGAACCCCTGGCCCCTGCACCTCCTTGCAGGCACTTTAATCCACTGAACTATTTGGCCAGCCCTTTTTTAAAAATTAATATGATGGCTCAGCATGATGTATGGATCCATTTTTAAGGCCATATCCCATATCCCATCGAGATTATGCTGTTCCATCAGAAACTGGCCATACCATTGGGCCAGAACAGACACCCTTGGACAGATTGAGCTCTATATCTATTATTCCTTGAAGATCAGGTTTCAAGACATAGCGTGCTTATCAGGTTTATTTTTATGGCTCTACTAATTTGTTCCTGCTGAAACATGTCATGAGAAGGTAGAGACAGAGCTGTGCCTTCTATAAAATGCCAAATACCAGGTGCTGGTATGCACATGCCTGCCATTTACGCAAGTGCCCAAGAGTGCACGCTGCCACCTCAGGATTTCCTGGATTAAGGCATGAACTGATTAACCCCTGTGCTAATTACAGCCTTGCATTGACTCCCTGAACACTGAAGAGCTGTTAAATGTATTGTTGCTTCCTTCATCCTTTCCGAAAATTTTCCTCTATTGTAAGGGGAAAGTCAAAAGCTATTATCTTGCCTCCCTGGGACTTCCTTACTTAATTTTCATCACTTTTGAGTTTTATCTTTATTATTAGAATTCAGAATTGTTGAAAGAAAAGTGTTCATTTGTAATTAGATAAAAAAATTAGATTAACTTTTTGATTATTTTCTTGGAGAAGCAAGATTGAATCTCTAAGGCAACTAACTGCCTGGATTAGTATCTTATGCCTGTCATCTACTAGTTCTGTGACTATAAATTCTGTAAAACACTTAGAGCAGTCACCAGCACACTGTAAACACAGTGTGGTTCATATAATAATGGACCACATCTTTTAGTACAAAATAAATTAGAGTAACAGAACCTGTAAAATGGCACTGGGGCTGGGTGAAGTGGCACACATCTACTGCCTTGGTACTCTGTGAGGTTGAGGCAGGAGGATGACAAGTTTGAGCCTAGTTTGGGCTACTTAGTAACTTACTGAGAACCTCTCTCAAAATAAAAGACAAAAAAAGGAAAAAGAAAAAAAAAAAAAAAGGAACTGGGGGTGTATTTCAGTGGGAAGGCCCTAGGTTAAATCCCCAGTGCTAAAAAAGATATTATTGAGAAATGATCTTTCACTTGAGGTTGAT